CCAAGTTGTGATTCACACTATCAGTCCTCTGCAAATAACCTAGAGTGACCTGCTGGAACCAGTCCAAACAGTTTTACCATAAGAGTGCCTCCCCAAGAGATCTGTATAGATATAGCCTGCAGGGTGTCCTAAGCGTGTTCCCCAGCCACACAGAGAAGGAAACGCCCTCATTTTGCCAAATGCCCATTAGGTGGAATGTACTTTATCTAACTTCCAAGGATCTTTCTAGGCCACATTCTATGAAATAAACTTTGTGGTCTACTTATTCACAAAAACATTGGGGGACACAGTGGTGGTGAAAACTAAAATATACTGAAGTCATACTTATTTTACATCAAGCACTGTGCTAGGTGAACCCTAGACTTTCTCATTTGATATTCATAAGAACAACCAGTTGCCACCAAGTCGATTCCAACTTACTGCAACCCCATGTATTTCAGAGTAGAACTGCGCTCCACTGGGTTCTCAATGGCTGATCTTTCAGAAGATCACGAGGCCTTTCTTCCGAGGTGCCTCTAGGTGGACTTAACCCACTAACCTTTCCATTAACAGCCAAGCGCTTAACTGTTTACCCCAGACAGGGACTCCATATTCATAATATTACTATTGCTATTTTAGAGGAAACTAGAGTTTAGAGTAGTTAAACATTTCCAAAGCTACATCACTGGTGAGGGGCAGGGCTAAGATTCAGACCCACATCTGTGGGGTGCCAGAGCGTACACACTCTCTTTCCATGCACTCCTACTTGCCTCTCCACTGCCCCTCAACTTTCATCCTCTCTGTGCTCTCAGATAAGGAAGAAGGAAAGTAATATTTACCTAACCCCATGCTAAGCACCTTTGTGAGGGCTATCTCCTAAATCCCCAACAAATCTGGGAGGTGAATATTTTTCTCCCCATTTCACAGATGAACCCACTGAGACCTAGAGAGGTTATGGAATGTGCTCAAGATCACACAGTTAGGAAGTGCCAGACTGGGAATTTCATTTCCCCCTCATCATGCTGCCTCCTTCTCAACCCCAAATGTGATAGGGTATTTCTATTTTCTAAATGATAGTAACTGCTGCAAACACCTCTTTAAAGTGTTAAAAAGCAAAGACATCACTTTGAGAACTAAGGTACACCTGACCCAAGCTATGGCATTTTCAGTGCAATAGCTGGACAATGAATAAGAAAGACCAAAGAAGAATTGATGCCTTTGAATTACGGTGTTGGTGAAGAATATTGAATATACCATGGACTGCCAGAAGAATAAACAAATCTGCCTTGGAAGAAAGTACAGCCAGAGTGCTCCTTAGAAGCAAAGATGGCAAGACTTCGTCTCATGTACTTTGGACATGTTATCAAGAGGAACCAGTCCCTGGAGAAGGACACCATGCTTGGTAAAGTAGAAGGTCAGTGAAAAAGAGGAAGACCCTCAGTGAGATGTATTGACACAGTGGCTGCAACAATGGGCTCAAGCACAGTAACAATTGTTGAGGATGGTGCAGGACTGGGCAGTGTTTTGTTCTGTTGTACACAGAGCTGCTCTGAGTCAGAACCAACTTGACACAAAACCTAACAACAACAAATGATACCAAAGCACTTAACAACAAGAAAACAATATGAAATGAAGCAACTTCAGAGATCCTGTGAAGTCCCCCAAAAGTCCTCTGCAAAAATAACTATCACCCATCTAGTGCTTTTCTGTTCAGATAATCCTTGCACAGACATGCTCTCATACGAACTTTTCATACAGCCTTGAAAGGTTAAGTACTAACATCCCCGATTTCCAGAGGAGGAAACTGAAGTTCAGACAGATGAAACCAAACCAAACCAGTTGCCTTCAAGTCAATTCTGACTCATGGAGACTTCATGTGTTGCAGAGTAGAACTGTGCTCCATAGGATTTTCATGGCTGTGACCTTTTGGAAGTAGACTGCCAGGCTTGTCTTCTGACACACCTCTGGGTGGTTTCGAACCACCAACCATTCAGCTGGTAGCCAAGCACGTAACAATTTGTGCCACCCAGGGGCTCCTCAGACAGGTGAATTAGCTTGCTTTTCAGTGGTTGAGCATGGACTCAAACCCATTTCTTAGAGGCCAAAGCCCACCCTCTTCCCACTTCTCAAGGGAAACTGCCTCTCACGGACCCTCTTATTGGTTTAAGAGAAGTGGTAGAACATAGTTATTGGAAAAAACTCCTTATCCTTAAAGGATCAATTCACAACTATCCATAATCTATTCAAACTATCCATAAAGAAGTTCTAAATTTAATGTGTTAAAGAGTGTAGGGACAAGCTACAATGACTTCAAACGTCTCCCTGAATCCACCCTCCTGCCCCACCTCCAACACCACTGAACAGAAAGTCATTTCCCTTCCACAGTCCACAACTGAATGACTCTGGACTCATAAAAATCACATGGTATTTGATCTCACTATGACTCCCTGACCAAAGGATGGACCTGCCCATGGGGGAGGAAAGGGAGGGATCTTCAGGGTGTTTACACCCAACTCCCCAGTGAGGTCACACACGCTGAAGTTTGCTCTTAAAATCATTTACTGCTCTAACAGAATAAATCATCAGGCCCCACTCAATCCCATTCACCAAAGAACTAAGAGATTACTTTTCTACACCTACAGTCTAAAGAAGAGGAAGCTACAACATTCTCCCTGCAAAAAGAATACAATACGACATGCCTTGACTTCTTTCCAGGGAAATAAAAAACCTAAAAAAAGAAACCATAGTTGGATGGCAGAAACTTCAGTGACAATGAGATTTGTTTTTGTTTTGTTTTGTTTTGGGGGGTGGGGGTGATGGGGGGTATCCTTCACGGAGCACATATCTGCCAGATGCTACACTGAATGTTTTAGAAACATTATCCCATTTAATCCTCATAATAACCCTGTTGTGGTCCTCGTTGTTCTTGTCGTTGTTGTTCTTCTTCTTAGGTGCTGTCGAGTCGATTCCAACTCATAACGACCTAATGCACAACAGAACGAAACACTACCTGGTCCTGCGCCATCCTCACAATTGTTGCCATATCTGAACCCATCACTGCAGACACTGTGCCAATCCATCCTGTAAGAGTCCTCCTCTTCCCCAGTGAACCTTCACTCCACCAAGCATGATATCCCTCTCCGGGGACCGGTCCCTCCTGATAACATGTTCAAAGTAGGTGAGATGAAGTCTTGCCATCCTCACCTCCAAGGAGCATTTTGGCTCTAGCTCTTCCAAGACAGATGTGCCTGTTCCTCCAGAAGTCCATGGTATACTCAATATTCTTCGCCAACACCATAGTTCAAATGCATCTATTCTTCTTTGGTCTTCCTTATTCATTGTCCAGCTTTCACATGCCTATGAGATGACTGAAAATAACATGGCTTGCATCAGGCGCACCTTAGTCCTTAAAGTGACATCTTTTCCTTTTTAACACTTTGAAGAGGTCTTTTGCAGCAGATTCGTCCAACGCAATACATTGCTTGATTTCTTGACTGCTTCTTCCATGAATGTTGATTGTGGATTCATTGTAAAATGAAATCCTTGACAACTTCAATCTTTTCTCCATTTATCATGATATTGCTTATTGGTCCAGCTGTGAAGATTCTTGTTTTCTTTTTGTTGAGCTATAATCTATACTGAAGGCTGTAATTTTTTATACTCAACAGTACATGATTCAAGTCCTCTTCGCTTTCAGCAAGCAAGGCTGTGTGATCTGCATATTGCAGGCTGTTAATGAGTCTTCCTCCAATCCTGATGCTGCATTCTTCTTCATAGAGTCCAGCTTCTCAGATTTGCTCAGCATACAGACTGAATAAGTATGGTGAAAGAATACAACCCTGATGCACACCTTTCCTGATTTTAAACTTTAAACCACCCAGTATCCCTTGTTCTATTTGAACGACCGCCTCTTGGTCTATATACAGGTTCCATATGAACACAATTAAGCGTTCTGGAATTCCCATTCTTTGCAATGTTATCCGTAATTTGTTATGATCCACACAGCTGAATGCCTTTGAGTAGTCAGTAAAACACAGGTAAACATCTTTCTGGTATTCTCTGCCATCTGACATAGTTGCCATCAGGTCAATCTCGACTCGTGGTGACCCCATGTATGTCAGAGTAGAAATGCTCCATAGGGTTTTGGAAGCAGATCTCCAGGCCTGTCTTCCAAGGTGCCTCTGGATGGGTTTGAACCACCAACCTTTCAGCTAGTAGTCGAGCACTTAACTAGTCTGCACCACCCAGGGGCTCCCATAATAACCGTATGGGGTAATTATTATCAATCCCAATTTACAGATAAGGAAACCGAGGCTCAGCAGTTAAGGAACACGCACAAAATCAACCACTAGTAAGAAGCAGGGCTGAGATATGAACCCAAGTTTATCTGGCTCCAAAGCCTGTGTTTCTGTCCATGATACACTACTGCCTTCACAAGCTTTCCACCACCCATGATCTACAGCAGCAAAGGCCCAATGAAGACCTTCAAAATCAGAGTATAAGAACCTGTAGACATGGTGGAACCATTTTTGCCTCTATGGAATTTTAAAAAATAAGTTGGTAGTTTCTCCATTTCTCAGTTACCACTAGAATTAAGTCAAAAGGACTACAGCATTTCTACAAATCTGATCTATCTGAATCACAGGCCTAGAGATACAAGGGTTTATATACATTCATGGCCATGAACCAATAGTTGGTTCTGAAAATTACGCACTTTTAGGCAAGAAAGGATATCATTAAAATGCCAGCATTGTAGCACAGGACTTTAAAGCATTTCTTTAATTACATATAATTTACTCTCTGCTGTCTTTCTTAATAAGATTAAAAATCCAAATGCATCCAAGTAAGGATTGGAGAGAATCTCCTTGTAACATAACTCCTTGGCCCAGCCATTCCACCCCAGCTGAAGACTGACTTTCTACTACTACCCTTGAAAGATCTAGGTTTTTAATTCTTTACTAAGAAAGCATATGTTTCCTTATGCACATTCAGGGAAAAAAAACCACAGGAATGTCACCTACCTCAGAAAAGAACTCATCCATGAAAGCTGTGTTGTCAATAGCAATCTCGACCTCGTAAGCATCGTCATCCTCTGTCAGCCGCTCCTGTAAGAGCAAAAAGGAGCAAGGTAAGAAGAAAAACTTTACTATTAATAATGGTAACAGTAAGTAGTAAATGTTAGTGAATGTTCACTACCTGCCAGAAGCTATATTAAGCATTTCATAGACATAATCATCTTTAAAACTCACAACTACATGAGGTATCAAATTCTGCAGTCACATTGTCTTCATTTAAATCCTAGCTCCACCACTTACTGATTTTTAGGGGGAGCGATGGGACAAGTTACTAACTCCACTGTGCCTCAGTTTCCTCAACCATAAAATGCCAATGATCAACCTACCTACTTCATAGGGTTGTTTAAGGAATAAATGAGATAACGAACATGAAACACTTTATTCTGCACCGTGCCTGGTACACTGTAAATACTCCATGAATACTAGGTTTTGTTGTTATTTGTGAAGCCAGAACCTGTGTAAGGTGGAAATCTGTCAGAAAGGAAAACTCAAATATTTTCCACTAAAAGGAGAGACAGAAAAGTGGTAAGACTGCACCCTGCCAAAGGTGGAAAACTTGCAAGACCCAGAAAAACAAGGCCGTCCCATCGTGTTCTGGCTCTTACAGGGTTCACTGTACAAGTCACTCCAGTTGCAGAACCTACAACTTAAAGGGGTTAATAACTTGGCTGAAGTCACATAGCTAGGATGTGGGGCCATGAAGACCTGCACCCCATGCTGCTAATCCCTTCTCCACACTGTTCAAATGCATGACCTACCCCATCAGGGGTCTATATTAGAACAGCTTCTAGCCACTGTTCCTCCAAAGCACTAAATCCTCACCACAGAAACAAAGATTTGCCTGTTTTCAGGAAAGAGCTTCCTGTTTCTTCTTGCAAGGGAAAGAGGGCCTGCGTGTTGCTCGCTGTCAGAGAGCTCATGTTTATAAGGAAATGGACACTCTCCCACTCAGCCCCCAGCAACTTCTTGGGACCCCAGCTTTCTCAGTCTCACTCAATTTCCTCTGTAAAATCACAAAATGGAAAGGAAGTGTCTAAACGAAGACACTTTAGACACTAAGGAAGTGCTTCCATTCCCACCCAGCATCTAGGACCTGAGCTGTTTCTACATTCTTCCAGAACATTCTCTCTCCAGGCTACTGCTGCACTGCACGCTGCCGATCTCCAGGCACATAAGGAGAGCCAGTTGTTGGGAGTGGGAGGGGTGGGTAAAGCCCCCTACATCTGCTCCTTCACAACCTACAATGGCCTATAGCCTTCTAAGCCCAAGGTATGTCACCCTCAAACACTCAGAACTCCAGGGGCAATGAAAGCCACCAGCGGCCTCTTTCCTTCACATCCTACAATCCCCAGGCCATAGCAAAAGATAGTTTTTGTAAATTCCCATGGAAATTTGGGGCTCTCCAGCCCCTGGGGAGTTTCTTTTGACTGGCTTGCCCAGAATCTCATCCTCTGGCTTGTCTGGAACCATCAGCATCCCTAGCTTAATAACCACATTCACAGAGTTGAACTTGAGGACGCTGCTACAGCCTCCAGAGCCCTGGTGGAGCAGTGGTTAAGTGTTCAGCTGCTAACCAAAAGGCTGGCAGTTCGAATCCACCAGCCGCTCCTTGAAAACCTTATGGAGCAGTTCTACTCTGTCTTACAGGGTATCTATGAGTCAAAATCGACTCGACAGCAATGGGTTTGGTTTGGTTTTGCTATAGCCTCCAGGCCCATGGGTGGCTTGCATGTAGTCTGCATGTGGCTGCTAACCAAAAAGTTGGCAGTTTAAATCCACCCAGCAGTGCCACAGAAGAAAGGTCTGGCAATCTACTCCTGTAAAATCACAGCCATTGAAAACTCTACGGAACAGTTCTACTCTGACAAACATGGGGTCGCCATAAGTTAGAATCGACTCAACGCCAACAGGTTTGGTTTCTGGGATTTTTTTGCCACAGCCTCCACAATCATCTTCCTAACACTGAGAACTGAACGTGTCTCTCTGCCACTTAATTCAGTGACAAGGCACCTCCTAGGATTGAAAGTCCCTATGCCTAACAGAGCATGCAGGCCTCTTTAAGAGCTGGTCCCACTCACACTTCTCCCTCTATGTTGAACTCTCCAGACCAGGCACTTGGAACTCCTTGCATTTCCGGAACACACCATTCTTTCATTTTGCTGAGCTATATCCCACAAGGGCTTCTTCCTGGAATGCCTCTGACTAGTTGGCTAATTTTACTTAGGCTTTAAAACTCAACTTGAACAATCTTCTCTGTGTACCTTCCCTGACACATACTCCCATGCAAAATTAAAAACTCCCGTAAACTCCCACTGCACTTTGTGCAAACCTTTCATTGCAACCATCACAGCCTACTACTAATTATCCCTTTACTTATCTGTCTTTCCCAGCTGACTACACACTCCTGGAGCTTAAGGATTGCCTTATGTATCTATGACAGTAGATACTTTGACTGTGTGTGTGTCTGCCCAGAGCACCCTCCTTTTGGGGAACTACCTTTCACTCTTCCCACATGATACCGGGGAAGCAATCATCATGACCCAGGCTCCCTAAGGAATTTGGATGGTGAAAGAAGTCTGAAGTGAATGGAGCCAAGCCAACCAATGGCAGCACCCAAGAGATGTCCATGAGATTCCCAGAGTTGACCTAGTTCCTCTCCTTCCTGAGCCACCCTTTGGCTGAGAGCAGGTTCTACAGATTTTTCCCAGAGGAGCCCTGGTGGCTCAGTGGTTAAAGGGGTAGACTGCTCACCAAAAGGTCAGTGGTTCAAAACCACCAGCAGCTCTGCAGGAGGAAGATTTGACACTCTGCTTCTGCAGAGATTTACAGCCCTGGGGTCACTAGGAGTCAGAATCAATTCGACAGCAGTGGGATTCTTTCAATGGGCTGAATGGTATCCTTCTAACACATTTTTAAAATTCGTTTAGCCAGAATCAGCTTCTGTCACTTGCAATTAAAATTGAGTACTGTAGATATAAGAGACCAAAGGGGTGGCTTAGGCAGAGAGAGTTAGGAGCTGGTTGAATGTTCATGGGGAATCAGGGCGGAGGGAGGAGTGTGCTGTGTCGCAGAATGGAGTAAGCAGTTGGGGTCTCATAACAATGCATGTTTAAAAAAAAAAAAAATTCTGTATGGGAGACTAACTTGAAATGTAAACCTCAATTACAACGATTAAAAAAAAGAAATGAAGTTTTAATTGTTGTTGGGGAATCATGGCTTAGGCAATAAAAATAATTGTAAAAAAAATAAAATAAAATTGAGCACTGTACTTGTCACTAATTAATTTATTACACATGTATACTGAGCACTTACCATGCAATAAGCATGTAAAAGAAATTTAATCCATTTTAGCTGAATAAATAACTAGCTTCCACAGAGACCAGCAGCCTGAATTCACCCAGCCGACTGTAAAATTCGAGACAAAATACTGTCTTCAAGTATTATCATACACTCAGGCCTCTCAGTGGCTTCCAGAGAGCTCCATCTCCAGAGAAGGAACTCTGTGATCCTCACAGGAAACAGGAATCCAATCTTCCTCGAAGAAGGTGGGTTAACATACATTTCTTGCGTTTCCTCTCTTCAGAAGTCCTCTGGGGACCCACACTGAGGGGAAAGACCCTAGTACGTATGTGTACACACACACACACCCACACACAAGTGCAGCATTCTGGTCTTCAAACAATCACAAGTGCTAAGGGAGTGAGAAGAGTTCTACCATGGTGGGATGAATTGAGAGAAGGTTCCAGAAGTGGGGAACAACTGTGTCCTAGAGCATGAGATCCAGGTACCTAGCTCTCCATCATCATATAAATTTTTGACACCCCTGGAATTTGTATGGAAACCCTGGTGATGTAGTGGTTAAGAGCTACAGCTGCTAACCAAAAGGTCATAGGTTCGAATCCACTAGCCGCTCCTTGGAGACTCTATGGGGCAGTACTACGCTGTCCTATGGGATTGCTATGAGTCAGAATCGACTCGATGGCAACGGGTTTGGTTTTTTGTTTTTTGGGAATTTGTACAGGGATTTCTCACATCCGAGACGGCTACCTCTTGGCTTAGAGTAGATTCTAGCAGGGTAGCCTGGTCCACCTTCAGTGGGGAAATGTATAAACTGGGAAAAGTGAAATCTTTGGGAACCCATGACTTAGGTCTAAAATCTGCTGCTACCAGTTACTGACTGTGAGACCTCAACTGAGTCCTTTACCTTCTCTGAGCTTCAGGTTTTTCACCTGTAAAATGGCAATAACACCGCATACCTTATGACTTTTATGAGGACTGGAGGAGATCACATATGGAAAGTCTCTAGCACAATACCAGGCACACACCAGTGCCTAATAAGTGTCAGTTTCCCTCTCACCTAGCCATAGAGACGTGGGTCTAAGAGAGCAGAGTCTACTCTGTGAGTCCTCCTCCTTCACAGGAAAACGCTCTCACACCAAAGGGTAAGTCAGTAAGATCAGCTCCACAGCATCCTGTCGACCACGGTTCTAACCTACCGCATCACGTACCAGTCACTGAGCCTTTAACGAATGGTTTCACATCTTTGAGCCTCAACTTCCTCATCTGCCAAACAGTAATAATAGTGCTTACCAGGGCTGTTGTGAGGAGGAAATAAGATACTTTAAAGTTCCTTAGGTAATGCATAACATATAGTAAAAACTCAATAAAGCAACAATACTCCCGAAAAATCAGCCAATGAAAACCCTATGGATCACATGGCCCAATCTCTTTGTGCATGGCGTCAGCATGAGTCAAGGCCAATTCAATGGCAGCTAACACCACCACCACCAGCTGTAAGATCCAGCCAGGCCAGCTTCTTTATAGCTTTAACTTGGACCTAAGTATCTTTAAGGCCCCTGAGTAGCACAAACAGTTTCTGCTTGGCTACTAACCAAAAGGTTGGCAGCTGGAATCCACTCAGTGGCACCACAGAAGAAAGGCCTGGTTATCTACTTCTGTAAGATTACAGCCATTGAAAACCCCATGGAGCACAGCTCTACTCTGACAAACAAGGGGTCGCCATGAGTCAG